CCAAAACTTCCAATTCCCCGGTCCCCAACACCTCATCTTGACCGTGGACGTCCAGTCCCTCTACACCTGCATTCCCCATGCAGATGGCCTAAAGGCCCTCTGCTTCTTCCTGTCCCGCAGGCCTGACCAGTCCCCCTCCACTGACAGCCTCATCCGCTTAGCCGAACTCGTCCTCACCCTCAACAACTTCTCTTTCAATTCCTCCTACTTCCTACAGACAAAGGGGGTGGCCATGGGTACGCGCGTGGGCCCAAGCTATGCCTGCCTCTTTGTAGGTTACATGGAACAATCCTCTTCCGTACCTACACTGGCCCTAAACCCCACCTCTTCCTCCGTTACATTGACGACTGTATCGGCGCCGCCTCGTGCTCCCACGAGGAGTTCGAACAGTTCATCCACTTCACCAACACCTTCCACCCCAACCTTAAGTTCACCTGGACCATCTCTGATACCTCTCTCTCCTTCCTAGACCTCTCTGTTTTCATCTCTGGCAACCACCTGGAAACCGATATCCATTTCAAGCCCACCGACTCCCACAGCTATCTAGAATACACCACCTCCCACCCACCTTCCTGCAAAAATGCCATCCCCTATTCCCAATTCCTTTGCCTCTGCCAAATCTGCTCCCAGGATGAGGCATTCCACTCCCATACATCTCAGATGTCCTCGTTTTTCAAGGACTGCAACATCCCCCCCTCAGTGGTCAAGAACGCCCTCGACCGTGTCTCCCGCAACTCATCCCTCACACCCCCTCCCCGCAATAACAACCAAAACAGAATCCCCCTCGTCCTCACGTACCACCCCACCAACCTCCGGATCCAACGCATCATCCTCCGACACTACCGCCATCTGCAATCTGACCCCACCACCAAAGACATTGTTCCCTCCCCACCATTATCTGCTTTCCGGAGGGACCACTCTCTCCGGGACTCCCTTGTCCGTTCCACACTCCCCTCCAACCCCACCACACCCGGCACTTTTCCCTGCAACCGCAGGAAGTACTACACCTGCCCCCATACCTCCTCCCTCACCCCCATCCCAGGCCCCAAGAAGACCTACCACATCAAGCAGATGTTCATCTGCGCATCTGCCAATGTGGTATACTGCATCCGCTGTACCCGTTGTGGCCTCCTCTACATCGGGGAAACCAAGCGGAGGCTTGGGGACTGCTTTGCAGAACACCTACGCTCGGTTCGCACTAAACAACTGCACCTCCCAGTCGCGAACTATTTCAACTCCCCCTCCCATTCCTCAGACGACATGTCCATCCTGGGCCTCCTGCAGTGCCACAACGATGCCACCCGAAGGTTGCAGGAACAGCAATTCATATTCCACTTGGGAACCCTGCAACCCAATGGTATCAATGTGGATTTCACAAGCTTCAAAATCTCCCCTCCCTCTACCGCATCCCAAAACCAGCCCAGCTTGTCCCCACCTCGCTAACCTGTTCTTCCTCCCACCTATCCCCTCCTCCCACCTCAAGCCCCACCCCCATCTCCTACCTACTAACCTCATCCCGCCCCCTTGACCTGTCCGTCCTCCCTGGACTGACCTATCCCCTCCCTAACTCCCCACCTACACTCACCTTTACTGGATCCATCCCCGCCTCTTTGACCTGTCTGTTTCCTCTCCACCTATTTTCTCCTCTATCCATCTTCTATCCGCCTCCCCCTCTCTCCCTATTTATTTTAGAACCCCCTTCCCCTCCCCCATTTCTGATGAAGGGTCTCGGCCCGAAACATCAGCCTTTCTGCTCCTCAGATGCTGCTTGGCCTGCTGTGTTCATCCAGCTCTACACCTTGTTATCTCGGATTCTCCAGCATCTGCAGTTCCTACTATCTCTGAAACAAGGTTCGTCTAAGCTGTTTTCTGCCTGAGACAGCCAATGATATCATCAAACTGCCACATGATCAGTCTCTTAAGGTGACAGTCCACTATCCTTACATAAATACACCAACATTCCTCCCCTTTACATCAAAGGTTCCTGCAAGGAAAATATTCACAATATTTACAATCATATATACGACAGTCAGCAGATAATAGAAGTGTATAACATCATGAGGGGCATGGATAAAGTGAATGTCCAAGGTCTTTTCCCCAAGTTAGCAAAGTCCAAAACGAGAGGGCATAGGTTTAAGGTGAGAGGGGAAAGATTTAAAAGGGACCTAATAGGCAACTTTTTCAAACAGAGGGTGGTTCGTATATGGAATGAGCTGCCAGAGGAATTGTTGGAGTCTGGTACAATTACAACATTTAAAAGGCATCTGGATGGGTAGGTGGGCTGGTGATAGGTTAGTGCAGGTAGGGAGTGGTGGGGATTGGTCAGTGAGATGGGTAGGGAGGATAGGTGGGAGAGAAGATGGACGGGTTGTGTCAGGTCAAGGAGGCGGGAATGAGAGGGAGGCTTGGACATGAGATGAGGCTGCGGGTGGGGAGATTTTAAAACTGGTGAATTCCATGTTTCGGTCATCAGGCTGTAGGGTCCCAATGTGGAACATGTGGTATTGCTCCTTCCGTTTGCAGATGGTGTCATTGTGACACCGGAGGAGGCCCAGGATGGACATGTCACCCAGGGAGTGGGAGGGGGAGTTCAAATGGTCTCCCACTTCCCTGGGTGACATGTCCATCCTGGGTCTCCTGCAGTGCCACAATGACTCCATCCACAAACTGGAAGAGCAGCAACTCATATTCCGCTTCCGGAGCCTACAGCCCGATGTCCTGAACATGGAATTCACCAGTTTTAAAATCTCCCCACCCCTGGCTTCATCCAATGTCCAAGCCTCTCTCTCAACCCTGCCTCCTTTACCTGACACAACCTGTCCATCCTTTCTCCCACCTATCTGCCCCACCCATCTCACTGACCAATCCCCACCACTCCCTACCTGCACTAACCTATCACCATCCCACCTACCTTCCTCATCCCCATCCCTCCTCTCTAATTATTTCCCAGCTCCCGTCCCCCTCCCCATTTCTGAAGAAAGGTCCCGACCCGAAACATCAACTTTCCTGCTTCTCTGATGCTGCCTGGCCTGCTTGTGTTCCTCCAGCTCCACACTGTTATCTCTGAGTCCAGCATCTGCAGTTCTTGCTATCTCCACAAATAGTTAATGTTGCTTGACATTTTTAAGCACTGATCCCTCAGTTACGGCTTTTATATTTGAAGGGGACAAATGTAGTTTTTGAACATTATGGCATGACCTATGTATTTGATGGAAGACATAAAACATTTACTAATAAAAACCGAAAGCACTCTGCGGATGCTGTAAATCAGGAACAAAAACAAAGTTGCTGGAAAAGCTCAGCAGGTCTGGCAGTATCTGTGAAGGAGAAAACAGAGTTAACGTTTCGGGTCTGATGACCCTTCCTCAGAACTTTCCTCCTGTTCTAAGGAAGGGTCACCGGACCCGAAACGTTAACTTTGTTTTTTCCTTCACAGATGCTGCAGACCTGCTGAGCTTTTCCAGGAAATTTATTTTTGTTCATAAAATATTTACTTCTGTCTTTTCTCATTCCAGGCCAGAATTGTCATACCCTGCTGAGCAGACTTTTTGTTTCTTCAGTGACTATAATGTCAATGGGGTAACATGAGACTCCTTCCAATCCACTTGAAATGTGATCCATGGCATGCTAGAATAATACCAGTGCAGATATCACCATAACAACATAAGATATAGGAGCAGAATGAAGCCATTTGGCTCATTGAGTCTGCTCTGTCATTCAATCGTGCTGATATGTTCTCAAACCCACTCTCCTGCCTGCTCCCATAACCATTGATCCCCTTACCAATCAAGAACCTATACATCTCTATCTTAAGTACATTCAACAACTTGACCTCCACAGCCCTCTGCGACAATGAGTTCCATAGAGTCACCACCCTCTGGCTGAAGAAATTCCTCCTTATCTCAGTTCCAAAGAATCGTCTCTTCACTCGGAGGCTGTGTCCTCAAGTCCTAGTCTCTCCTACTAGTGGAAATATCTTCTCCATGTCCACTCTATCCAGGCCTGTCAGTATTCTGTGAATCTCAGATTACGGCGACATGGTAGCTCAGAGGCTAGTATTGCTAGTATTACTGCCTCACAGCACCAGGGATCCAGGTTTGATTCTGCCCACAGGTGACTGTCTGTGTGGAGCCTGCACATTCTCCCAATATCTGCATGTGTTTTCTTCAGGCGCTCCATTTCCTCCTACAGTCCGAAGATGTATAAATTAAGTGGATTAACCATGAGAAATACAAAGTTATAGGGATAAGTTGGAGGGATGGGTCTGGGTGGGTTGCTGTTCGGAGCAATCTCTGGTCAGAAGTAAGCCAATGGGTTCTTGTCACAATTCTTGGAATTCTTGGAACCAATTCTACGTTTACACGAAGCCTCTAAACCACAGGATAAATGGTGTTTTGTAAACCAGGCTATGAAGCCTGGTCACCACTCTGTTCTGCCTCCTCCTTACCTCAGGTTTGCCGCAGTCACAGTCCTCGCCTTTTTCTAAGAGTAAGTTGCCACATTCATAGGCAGCAACCAGTTGGCTGAGACTCGGCACATTGTACAGACAGATCCCAACACCACGGCTGATGCTGCTCACCAAGTCCTGTTGGCTGCAACTGCTGAAGGCTGTTGGCAAAACTGAACTGAAGATAAAAATGCACAAAAGTGTCAAAGACAGTCAAAAGAAAATGGAAGTGCAGAGAAAACTGAGAAAACAACAATGTGGGGATACAGGGAATAAGGTGGGGAAAAAGCACCAGTTTAGCTTCTCTTGCCAAGAGCCAGTGTGGTCACTGCAGAGAGGCTGAATGGCATCATTCCATGCATTAGGCTTTCAAAAATTTGATGAAACACTGGGGAAAAATATCTACAAAATAGTGCACAAACAATGAAAGGTGTCTCTTGAAGGGAGAACAATTCTGGTACAATCTAGATATAGTCTAACAAGAAGGAAAGAAAGAAGCAACAACAATGCGTTCTAAACCAAAAACAGATATGCATCAGCAAAAATTCAAATGTACAAATGCCCTAATAAAAGCACATGGGAGGAAGGTTCTAAATGCAGAGATTGTTTGAATGGTATGGAGATAACAATGTGGGGATTTTAATCTAAAATTAGAATCATAGAACTTTACAGGACAGAAGGAGGCCATTCAACTCACTGTGGCTGTACTGACACCTGAAAGAGCTACCCAGCTAGTCCCACACTCCAGCCCTATCGCAATAGCCCTCCAGCTTCATCACTTCCAAATTTATATCCAGCTCTCTTTTGAAACCTCCCATGGAATTCACCTCCATTACTCACCCAGGCAGTGCATTCCAAATCCTAACAACTGTCCTGAGTAAAGAAGTTTCTCCTCGTCTCACTCCTAGCAGTCTTAGTGACGGTCTTGAAATTGAGACCACCTGGTTACTGACATAATGGCTAGGAGAAACAGAATTTTTTTTTCTTTATTCATTCAGGGGATGAGGGCATCCTTCCTTATCCTGTCAAAATTGTTTGTAATTTTGAGCACATTAATAAGGTCACTTTTTAATATTCTCTGCTTCAAGGAGAATAAGCCTGATTTCTCTCATTTTACCGAGCATCTAAAAGCCTTCATTCTAGTAAATCTCCTTTGAACTCTCTCCAGGGCTTTAACATCCTTCCTTAAGTAAGATGCCCAGAAATGAGCACAGAACTCCAAACGTGATCTGACTGATGTTTGGTAGAGGTATAGCATCAGTTCCTTGTTTTGATGTTCTATGCCTCTATTTATAAACCTGAGGATCTTATAAGCCTTCGCAACAACTGTTACAATTTGCCTGGCCACCTTCAGAGAATCATTTATGTGAACTCGGAGGTCCCTCTGCTCTGTACTCCCCTCAAAGTTATACCACGGAATCTGTATTGTCTCTCTGTGTTTCTTCTACCAAAATTCATTACCTCACATTTCTCTGCATTGAAATTCATCTGGCAAGTGTCTGCCCATTTGGCCAACTTGTCAATATCCTTCTGAAGTCGCTCAGCATCATCCTCACAATTCACGATTCTCCCTAGCTTGGTATCATCTGCAAATTTAGAGATTTTGCCATCAACATCCATCTCCAAATCGTTTATATAAATCAGAAAAAGCAAGGGTCCCAACACCGATCTATGGGCGACGCTACTTTCAACTCTCCTCCAATCTGAGAAATGCCAATCTATACCAGGTCTCTATTTCCTATCTTTTTGCCAACTTTGAATCCATGCTGCCAAGGACCCATCAATCCCAAACATTTCTAATTTGCTAACCAACCTGCCATGTGGCTTTCTGAAAGTCCAAATGTACAATATCCACAGCACCAACCTCATCCACTGCCTGTGTCACCTCATCAAAGAACTTAATTAAATTTGTCAGATTTTACCTGCTATTGATAAAGCCATGTGGACTGTCTGATATTAACTTATTTTTTTCCTAAGTGTATATTTAACATATACCCTATTATGGCCTCCACCAATTTTCCCTAATATTGACATCGAGCTGACAGGTCTGTAGTTCTCGGGTTATCCTTTACCCCTTTGTTAAACATTGGTGTCACATTTGCAATCCTCCAGTTCCCCAGGACTAATCCTGTGTTCAGAGAGGCCAGGAACATTTCTGTCAACTGCTCCATAATTTGCTCTTTTACCTGTCTCAGCAATCGAGGATGCATCACATCCAGGCTTGGCGACTAGTCTACTTGGTGTACTGCCAGAACTGAGGAAGTTCTGAGGAAGGGTAACTCGATCTGAAATGTTAACTCTGATTTCTCTTCACAAATGCTGCCAGACCTGTTGAGCTTTTCCAGCAAATTTCTGTTTTTGTTTCTGATTTACAGCATGCACGGTTTTTTTTTTAAATTGGATTTTAGTCACCATCTTCTAATTTGGTAAAGACAGAAGCAAAGTATTTATTTAGTACCTCTGTGATACACTTTGCTTCAGTGACCAACTTACCTTGCTTGTTCCTTATGGGAGCACTTCTTTTTTTACTATTTCTATGTTTGAAGAACACTGTACTATTTGTTTTAGTGCAGCCTGCTATCCTTTTCTTATGCATCCTCTTAACCTTCCTTATTGGGGGAGGCGGTGGCCTATGTTATTGCTGGACTGTTAATCCAGACACCCAGATAACATTCTGGGGTCCCAGGTTCAAATCCTGCCATGGTAGATCGTGGAATTTGAATTCAATAAAATATCTGGAATTAAGAGTCTAATGATGACCGTGAATCAATTGTCAGGAAAAACTTATCTGGTTCACTAATGCCCTTAGGGAAGGACCCTGCCATTCTTACCTGGTCTGGCCGACATGTTACTCCAGACCCACAGTAATGTGTTGACTCTGAACTGCCCTCTGGGCAATTAGGGATGGGCAATAAATGCTGCCTGGCCAGTGATGCCCTCATCCCATTAATGAGTAAAAAAAATCCAGTCTTAGCATCTCTCCTGCATTCAGGATACTCTTTCTGATTTCTATTGCTGTTATTATTCTGATGTGCATCATATTTGTCCTTTTTCTTCCTTATTTTCTCGTCGATATCCTTAGTCATCCAGGTTACTGTAGCTTTGGATACTCTATTTATTTCTCATGGATATGTACCTAGATTAGAGTCGTAGAGTCATAGAGATGTACAGCATGGAAACGGACCCTTCAGTCCAACTCATCCATGCCAACCAGATATCCTAAATTAATCTAGTGCCATTTGCCAGCATTTGGCCTATATCCCTCTAAACCTTCCTATTCATCTACTCATCCAAATGTCTTTTAAATGTTGTAATTGTACCAGCTTCCACCACTTCCTCTGGTAGCTCATTCCATGTATGCATCATCCTCTGCATGAAAAAGTTACCCCTTAAATCCCTTGTAAATCTTTTCCGTCTCACCTTAAACCTATGCCCATTACTTTTGGACTCCCGCATCCCAAGGAAAAGACCTTGACTAATCACCCTGTCTATGCCACTCATGATTTTATAAACTTCGATAAGGTCAACCCTCAGCCTCCGATGCTCCAGGGAAAATAGCCCCAGCCTATTCAGCCTCTCCCTATAGCTCAAATCTTCCAAACCTGGAAACATCCTTGTAAATCTTTTCTGAACCCTTTCAAGTTTCACAACATCCTGCCTATTGCAGGGAGACCAGAACTGTCCTAACCAATGTCCTATACAGCCACAGCATGACCTCCCATACTCAATGCACTGACCAATAACAGCAAGCATACCAACCTCCTTCTTCACTGTCCCATCTACCTGTGACTCTACTTTCAAGGAACTGTGAACCTGCAATCCAAGGTCTCTTTGTTCAGCAACACACCCCAGGACCTCACCATTAAGTGTGTAAGCCTTACCCTGATCTGTCTTTCCAAAATGCAGCACCTCACATTTATCTAAGCTAAACTCAGACTGCCACTCATCAGCCCACTGGCCCATCTGATCAAGGTCTCGTCATACTCTGAGGTAACCGTCTTGGCTGTCCGCTTCACCACCAATATTGGTGTCATCTGCAAAATTACTAACCATACCTCCTCTGTTCACATCCAAATCATTTATATAAATGACAAAAAGCAGTGGACCCAGCACCGATCCTCATGGCTTCTAGTCTGAAAAGCAACCCTCCACCACCTATTTCTGAAGAAGGGTCTAGGCCCGAAATGTCAGCTTTCCTGCTCCTCTGATGCTGCTTGGCCTGCTGTGTTCATCCAGCTCTACACCTTGTTACCTCCACCACCACCCTCTGTTTTGCACCCTATTCATCTCCTTTTAGAATTGTTCCCATTTTTCATCTACTGTTTTACCCACCAAAAGATGTTTCCAACCTTAACTATTGACTGAATGTACTGAATGCAGTGCAATCCAGATCCTCACTACCCTGTGGGGAAATTTTTTTCCTTAAATTCCCTCCAACTTCCTGTATTTCACAGGATTATGCCTCCTTGTTGCTGACCGTTCAACTAAAGGGGAACAGCTGCTTTCTATCCATTCTCTCCATGCCTCTCAGACTCATACACAACCCTATCAGGTTCCACACTCAGCTTTCTCTGCTCCATAGAAAAACATTAAAACATTGAATGACCCTCCAAATTGCCCAAATGTTCCCACCAGGCTTTAAGAATAACAGCCATTAGAAGTTATGGGTGGCATGGTGGCTCAGTGGTTAGCACTGCTACCTCACAGAGCCAGGGATCCAGGTTCGATTCCACCCTTGGGCAACTGTCTGTATGGAGTTTGCACATTCTCCCCGTGTCTGCGTGGGTTTCCTCCGGGTGCTCCGGTTTCCTCCCACAGTCCAAAGATGTGCAGGTTAGGTGGATTGGTCATGGTAAGTTGCCTGTAGTGTTTAGGGATGTGTAGATTAGGGGGATGGGTCTTGGTGGGATGCTCTGAGTGTCGGTGTGGAATTGTTGGGCCAAAGGGCCTGTTTCCAGACTGTAGTGATTCTAAAAAAACAAAAGCTGCTTTCTAGCCATCCTCTCCATGCCTCTCAGAATCATACACACCCTCCAAATTGCCCAAATGTTCCTACCAGGCTTTAAGAATAACAGCCATCAGAAGTTTAAAACTTAAACAAAACTCAACAATGTATTATTAATAATGTAACTTCAGTAGAAAAAGTTAAACAACAATGATCTAGTTAATGTTATGATT